AGTTGAAACCTAAATAAACATGGAAGACTTTTAAAGAAATATTTAGAACATGTTAAATTGCTTGAGGAACCCCAGTAAGAATAAGAAGGAAATATATATATATCTGAATCTGAGCTAGAATATACATATATAAAATCTGAACTCCTAACACATATTTAGTATCAAAATCCAGAGCCTGAAAGAGCTCACTCTAGTTTGACAAAGAGGAATCAAAAATAACTCTTCAATTACTGGAACAGTGTATTTTTAAAGGAGTAGAATGGGCAAAGGATGCTAAGAAGAGACAAACATTCAGTAAGGGAACAGTCAAGAGTGCTGGGTTATAAAAATGAATACAGATATGTGCTTAAAGAAAAATAGACTGGTTACATCCTTCATAGTTTACAGGTGGAGTAAAATAAGAATAAAAACGTGATCATTTGATTTGATATTGAGAATGTCATTTTTGTATTCATTGGAATTGTGGGCAAAAAACAAAAACAAAAACAATAACAATGGTCTTTTGCCAAATATGCAGGATGCAGCTTTTGGTAGAAACAAATCAGAGACAGAGAATGGTAATTTGAGTGATGCTTGGTTGGAAACAACAGTGTACATTTTTTTTTTTTCTGTTTTTTTTATGGAGTCTTGCTCTGTCACCCAGGCTGGAATGCAGTGGTGTGATCTCGGCTCTCTGCAACATCCGCCTCCTGGGTTCAAGAAATTCTCCTGCCTCAGCCTCCTGAGTAGCTAAATTTATAGGCAGGTGCCACCACGTTCATCTATTTTTTGTATTTTTAGCAGAGACTGGGTTTCAACATGTTGCCCAGGCTAGTCTCAAACTCCTGACCTCAGGTGATCTGCCCACCTTGGCCTCCCAAAGTGCTGAGATTACAGGCATGAGCCACCATGCCCAGCTGCCAAGGACATTATAAAAGAGATATTTTGCTATAAGAGGGGTAGAATATGATATGGGACTAGTTAGGCTGGAGATTATACAAATGTCAGGGCAAAAAAAAAAAAAAAGAGCTTTGTACATTTTGTTTTTCAAACTTGGAGAACCAAGACATGTTTCCATGATGTTTGAGATTTTTCAGTAAAGTAGGGTAAATGAATAAAGAAAGTTAGAGACAGAATAATTATAATATAGAGTCATATCCTTTCAGAACATAAATGAGATAGGAAACTGAGAAGAATGGAAATGTTACACTCCTGTTACAACATTAGCCAGAAATGTCTGTCTCTAGTTACACTTTCTGTAAGCTGTAATGAATCATTTTAATGTAATGTTATATATATTTGGTTGTTTTATTATTCTCTATCCTTCAAATTCACATAGAAGCAATTTAAACATTGGACATTTATTTGAGACTTCCTTCATATTTTATTTGAAAAAAAATGGAATCCACCTTCATACTGCATCAACTCATCTCGTGTCCACTAGCGAAACAAAACTGTCTTTTATTCTCAAAAATATATATTGTCTTTTCCCTACTGTCATTTTTCTCTCTATTTTTTGTAATCTTAGATGGCATCCAGTTGTTCCTCCACGTATTGGAATTTTTGTGTTTGCTTGTGCCATATTCCATTTCATATTACCTCTCTGTTCCCATATATAATAAAGTCACTATAGAAGATTGTCCCATGCAAGTGATTTGTATTGAGCAAAGCCTTCCCATACATGCACAATTTTCTAGATTCTCACTGTCTGATGCCTTTCAATTGTCATTCAATTTTGTGCAAAACATATTGATGTCAAAGAATAATGTTTTCTGAAGAGATAGTCTGTCAAAGTTCTGGGAGTTTCAATCTTCAAAAAGAATAAATAGACAACAGTTTGACTATGTGGCTTAGTCTGAAATGTAATCTTAGAGATTTATACTAAAACTATACTACAATATATAAATATTTGGATTTCTTTATATGTTCTTCCTTAATGTAACTTCACCAGCTCTCACACATCATAAACTCTCCAAAAGATAATTGATTTCATGTTTGTTTACAGTGACAACTGCTTCTTTGTCTCAGCACATTTCTCATCATTCCTAAATAACTTATTGAAAAGTTGATTTTTTAAAAAAAATTTAAAAACACAATGCTTCTTCCTTAGTAAGTGTTTTCATAAAAATAAAAAATGTTAGAAATGTATTATACATTTTTATTAAATTTTCTTTATGACTATTCAGGTATTTTTACTTAAATATGATTAAAACTACTTAAATAATATAAATATGTTGAAAATGATAAGTCAGTAGAACTTTCATTTATTTGGAACTATCACAACATACGTGTGGTTAAAATAAAACATTATCTGGAGACTTTATAATTTTATTTCTACATTTGTAGTTGTGTAACATAAATATTAACAATAATTTCAAAGTAAAATGTTGGAATTTCTAAAAAGATCTACAATTTCTAAAATGTTTAAAATTGTAATGCTACATTGATATTAGCTACATTTTGTGACCAATGTCAACTATACCAAATATTATCTAAAATTAAAGATAAATTGATTTCATTCTAAAAGATTTACACTTCTTTTGTTTCAGTAGAGATATTTTAATGAAGTAATATAAAATTGGCCATCAAAGACTTGACTTTTGAACACACAGAAAATGTTCTGCCTTACTGAATTCTCCTTAATTTTATATCAGGAGATATTTATAGCATACTACATTGTTATTAGATAAATTTATATTACAAGTCACATGTTCATTGATATTCTGTTTATTCCTTGATTTTATTTTTTTTCCCCATTGGTGATTTTTTATCTTTAGTTACAAAGGTTCAATAAGACCCCTTTACTGTAATGATGCTGTCATCAGACCAAACCAGAAACATCTGAAAACATTGAAAAAGCACAATGATTTTGAATTTTTGGAAAGCACTGCATTAAGCTTCAGTTTCACAAAAAGAAAATATTCCCTTTTATAAACCTACATTACAAATTAGTACCCAAGCAAGTATCAATAGAAATGTTTGAAAATGAATGGTTATATATTTATAATTTAATTGGTATTGTATGTGGGTGTGTGTTACACTTCACTTCAGACACTAGGAAAACCAGATAAGATACCATCTATGTATGGATGATAAATAAAATATGATTAATGATCACATTGAAAATAGTTCTCATAAAGCCCGTTTAGGGATTTTGTTACAGTACTTGAAACAACTGATTTGCTAGCAGCATAATAAAATCTTAGAAATTTTAAAAAGTGATGTTTTCTGGAATGTCATCACAGCTAAATACATCAGATAGTGTAATATACAAGAGAAAAAGATTTTATATCCTCCTATGCTTGGTGTATCAAATAATGATGGGGTTATTTTACTGCACTATAATATTAAAAGGCATTGACCCTTTAAATGGTATATATTTAAATAATCATTTTTCTCAAATTATTATGCTTAGTGGGTTTTATTTTAATTTAATAATTTATTGACTATTTGAATAAGATTACATAACTGTGGGAACAAAGATTTTTTAACATTTTATTATGTAATTTTCAATAAAGTAGAATTCCAACTGTTATGAGAAATGAAAAAAATCAAATATAATATAATCTTAAGTTATGCGGAAAATTTTTTTGTTAGGTTAGAACAAGAAGTTGGTGCTTTAACACTTCAAACTTAAGCAAAATATAATATTCTGGTCCATAGATACATACAAAGCCTACTTTTGCAGTGCGGTTTCTTTTGAAATTGCATACCTACTTCAATGTAATATTCCTAGAATGCTTCAGGGTAATTTTTACAAATCATGATCTTTTGGAATAATTCATTATTTTAACTAATATCTATCACTGTATCCTAGTCTGAAATCATCCCTGAATACTACCAGTTTTAATTCAGTGTGAAATTCTTCCTCCTTAACTTTAAATTATCTTTCTCTCTTCTTTTCTCTCCCCTCCTTTCTTTGTTCTTCCCTGACTGCCCTCCTTCCTACCCTCCTTCCTTTATTTCTTGTATTTTTGAAAGAGATATTTTGGGATTCTTTGGCAGCCAAGAGGATTGTCAGCCAATCCAAGCATGCATGGAATATAAAGAGAAAACACTGAGATTGAGGTAGATCTTGAACAGCATTGAAAGTCAAGTTGGCATTAAACAGATAAAATGTGACTAGGAGATGGACATATGCAAATAAACACATGGAACGGTGAGGAAACGGCAAAAATCAAATAATGTAATGACACTGAGGGTATATACTTTGCATTTGGAGGAGTGACATAAAAAAGATCATGCAGGAAATGATGGTAGGTTGTTACAAATCCCAGGTGCCATCCTGAGAGCTATTACTTTTAGTATGAAAAAACATGAGGAAAGCACAGGATTATAAAAAAAAAAAAGTCAGAATCAAAATTGCTTTCTAAAACAAGATCTTCACTGCCTCTATTGTTCAGTAAATTGTAAGATAAAGTACTTGTGGGAAGATCTCTGTAAGTTTTTATTTAAACTAGGAATCAGCCCGGCCTGGGAGGGCAAGGCAGGAGGATCACTTGAAGTCAGGAGTTCAAGACCAGCCTGGCCAACATGGCAAAACCCATCTCTACTAAAAACACACAAAAAAAATAGCAGGGTGTGGTGGTGCATACCTGCTAAGGCACAAGAATGGCTTGAATCTGGGAAGTGGAGGTTGCCGTGAGCCAAGACCACGCTACTGCACTCCACCCTGGGTGACAGAGTGAGACTCCCCATCAAAAAAACAAACAAACAAAAAACCCAGAAATCAATCAGCTTTGATGATTAAAATAACACAGACCAATAACAATAATTGAAAAATCATTTAAAAATACTCACTCATAGGTGGGTATTGAACAACGAGAATACATGGACTCGGAGAGGAGCATCACACACTGGGGGCAGTTACGGGGGTAGAGGAGAGACAGAGGGGAGGGATAACATCATGTGAAAAATCATTTAAAAATAGCACTATGTATGCATTATTACTACATAAACATATGTACATACACATAAACAGCACATATGTCTTGTGTATGTAAATAAAATTTTTACCCTATAATAGGTAAGTTATTTCCATTTTTAATTTTTTGATTTAATAAGGATATTTGTCTCAATTAGTTCAGCTTAAGAAAACTATTCAGTTTGACCATCTATTTGTCCAGCACAAGCTTTCCTGCTAAGCAACAATTTTCCAGCTGCATCTAATTTGTTCTAAACAGGGTTCAGGGTTCACCTTCATGATACTTACAAAAAGTATTTAAAATTATTGTTCAGACTGCTTATTGATATCCTATTAGTCTACAAGCAAGACATTCTACGATCCTCTAATTATTCCCTTCCCTCAATTTGCTCTAAGAAATCTTATTGCATATATGTCACTAATACTTTTAAATCTGATTTCTTTTATGCACTCACCCTGGTGAATTAGAAAAGATTTGTATCACTAACTTACTATTTTCCATACTTTCTTTAAGTACCTATGAAATTAGGCAAATTTGTTTTTCTGTTTTCAATTCTATCACATTTTCACTCCATCCTCCAATTTGTCGATCTTTCATTTTCAGTCCATTACTCAAAACATAGACTAGAATGCATTTTTCCTACCTATATCCTTAGAGTTCTTACCTATTGCCCTCTAAAATAAGATTTCTCGGAATAGGCTAGGAAGTATTATCTTGAGTGCTCTAAAGTCTTCAGATTCATATTGTCACTCCCTTCTCTACTCCTTCCCGTACATATGCTTATGCAATATTCAGCTAATTGCACTTTACCTAATAATTGTTTGTGGCTTTATTCCTTAGCTTATGCTCCCACTTTGATCAAAATCCCCCTACCCTCTCTTCTTATTCCATCTGGCTACGGTATATCTACCCTCTGAGACTAACTTGTAAATATATTTTCTTGCCAGCATACTTTCCAAATCACTTCAGGTTGCATTAAATATATTTTCTATATGCTCAAATGGAATCTTAATGTTACAGGTAGAGCTGTTCAGTATCTTATTTAATAAATCACAATGAAATTTTAAGTACCATTAGATAATTTTTCTCATAATTTATTGATATTTGTGGACTCACTACTTATTTTCCTTAGCAGTCTACTTTGAATCAGTTACAAGGGCACAAATAACACCCTTTAAAGTGCCTTTAAAATACATCTTTTAAAATTCATAAGACAAGCATAAAGCAGTCCTTATGCTTTTCCTCATCCATGTTTTCAAGAGTTCTGACATTTTCAGAAAGTGTTTCCTGAAAAAGAAAGGTGAGATAGCTTTAATAAGAAAAGCAATTGCAAGCTTATGAAAGATGAGAACTTTGTATCATTAGATGATAACTTCTTCATTTTTGGCTTTCTATGGTGCACATAGGCAAGCTCTCATGTACATTAATGTATCTTTGAAAGTGTATCTATTTTTTCTAGAAGAAATGCATTCCTTGATAAAATCTAGCCTACTATAATTTCAGCTACTCGGGAGGCTGAGGCAGGAGCATTGCCTGAACCTGGGAGGTGGATGTTGCAGTGAGCCCAGATAGCGCCATTGCACTGCAGCCTGGGCAACAAGAGCAAAACTGTCTCAAAAAAAAAAAAATGAATTCAGTCTACTAAAGACAGTCTAATTTGCCTAAAATTTCCTTACATCTAACCCTCAAGCCACCTCAAAATCCTGAGACTGTTATATAAAGTTTTACATATGTATGATCTTACATATGTAAGTTAAATTTATATATGTAAGGTCATACATATGTAAAACTATTAAATTTATAGCATAAAAATTTAATTATTAAATGGCAAAGTGCATCATAAAAAGAAGCATAAGAAATTAAAGTCTTTTGGTTTGTATATCATGCCTTGTTTAGCATAATTTTATGTTAAAAATTTACTAAATTAAAACCATGGCTCATTAAAATTTAGCCAATAACCAAATGATTCTTTAATATGAAAAATTTAACAAGCATTACTTTATCTTAAGGTGGATGAAATATAGGAGCTTTACCGGACAATTTCAGTTGTCAGATAGTTACTGGATCTACATAAATATACTGCAGTACTGGACAGGACTTCTAAGAGTCTGAAATCTGTTCAGCAACCTGTTGCTTAAGGAAGCTTGCATTTCAGTCTTCTAAAGGCCATAGCAGTGTTTTATGAGTTTTTCCTACTGAATCACACTAAACCTATGCGAACAAATACAGAGTTTATTAACTTATAACTATTATCCATCAGTATATCTAGACTATTGCTTTATTAGATTTCTGAAGGACCAACTGTCTCAGACAGCACCTTCATGTCTCATACATTTCCTGGTTGACAAATCCACATTTCCAAATTGTATTCAGTCTACAATGGAAAAGACCTGCAATCCATTAGGTATACATGACCACCTGGATTTGACTCTTTTAGAAGATTCAAATGTTATGATGAGTTACTACATAATATCACGAGATATTATTTTTTTGACTAAGTTACTTATTTGTGGCAGTAATGTAAGGAAACATGTTAATTTATGACATTTTTTTGTAATGACATATGAAATTCACATTGAGCTTCTTGCTCACTTAAATGCTTCCATAAAGGTGACTAAATCATAATTTTTAATATCTGAATACCTACAGCTTCTGATGACTAGGTATTATTTTTACATTTATTTAGTGCATTTTAAAATCACTATGGTAGACATGAAAGATTCCAATCATTCATAGTGTCACAAAAGATAAAATAAAAATATTTAATATCCCAAAAGGCTATATGTTGTATATAAACATTAATAAATTACTAGGAAATAATTCTGTTTTATACTAAAATATTTTGAAAACCTGTTGATACCTGTATTTTCAAAGATCACATTTTCAGTCTGGACTTCTAGAAGTATGATATCCCTTCAACAACCTGATACTCAAGAATTGTGAAAATCAAAAAGTGATTCTCTGGTTGAATATACATAGTTATTTAATCATATTTATGTATACCAATTAGTCTTCTATACTGCCAGGAGAATATTACTTTTTTATATAAGGATAAATTATTGAGCCAAAAAAAATATGTGATCACCCAGTGTTGAGGGTGCGGTCAATAATTTTGTTTTATTGTTTAAAGAACATCTTTCCAAATTATATAGAGTGAAAAATGACATATATATGGCAGCATATGAAAAATACTAAATTAAAAATGAGAAAGTAATATAGGAGAGGTTAGATTTGATAGACCTGGATGAGGATGTTGACTCTTCAGGATGACCTACACATTCTTTCTCACTGTTGCCAGTAGTAGGTGTGTTTGATCATTGATCGTTGATCGTTTAAACAATCTTTTTTTTTTTTTTTTTTGAGACAGAATCTTGCTCTGTCGCCCAGGCTGGTGTGCAGTGGCATGATCTCAGCTCCCTGCAACATCTGTCTTCCAAGTTCAAGCGATTCTCCTGCCTCAGCTTCCCGAGTAGCTGGGATTACAGGCACATGCCAACACGTTCGGCTAATTCTTGTATTTTTAGTAGAGACAGGGTTTCACTATATTGACCAAGGTGGTCTGGAACTCCTGATCTTGTGATCCACCCATCTCAACTTCCCAAAGTGCTGGGATTACAGATGTGAGCCACTGCGCCTAGCTTCAAACAACCTTTTGTGGTATAACTGACCTTCCAAGCATTTGCCATTTTGTACAACAATCTAAACTTGGTTCTTTTTGCTACAGCTGTTACTTAAATTTCATTACTAATTATGTAGAAGAGAATACATGCATCTGTGAAAAAGCCTTTTAAATAAGCTTTCTAGTGTAGTTATTAAAGTATTAACCACTGGCCATGGAGCAATACAGTTGGTGTTCAGTTTCCAGTTTCCTACTCACAATTTATGTGACTTTAGCAAATTATTTTTCTATCCAATGTCACAGATTCCTCATCTGCCATATAAGCTAATACACACCTAACTTACGGATTTTTATAAAGATTCAGTGATTTATTATTTTTTAAGTTTTCCAAACAGTTGTCATGCACACAGAAATGTCAGGGTTTTCATTATTCCTGCTGAAGGTATTTTGTCAAACATAGGTTTCTTAACTTGGAATCATGGAATCTGTATGTGTAATTCAGGGATTTTGAAATTTGGCATGGAAACAATACATCTTTGAAATTTCAGATTACTTTCATTTGATATATCTTTTGCAGATACCTCAAAATGCCATTTATAGTTATCTGTACTGCAAAATCACAATAATTATCTTGATATACAAAACATTAGTGATAACCATTTTCCTGTTAACAGATGGCTATGTGATAAAACTGGCCATCTATTGAGCTATATGGGGACTGGCTATAGTCATTCGGCCACAAAACACTTAAATTTGTAGTTCTCCACTTCTGCCCCAGACAAGAAGTTACTTTGCATCATTGTCCATTCTCAGTCATTTGCTGATCAGTGTGTAAAAGGCAGTTAAAACCAGCCTAGAGTTAAATGTTTAGCCATTATAGTCATTACACTAATCCTTCTTGAAACATAAAATTTAACTAGCCTAGTCTTAAATGCTTTCTTATTTATCGTGTTATGAGAAGCATATATGTTAAAATTTATAAAATACTGTAATAAATTTCAATATATTTCATGTTTATTGTAATTCTATGTATTTCTATGTAATTTATGCATTTAAATACATATTTTGACATGTAGTTTATAGAATTCAACAGACTGTCCTAGTGGGTCACACAATGTGCACACACAGCCTTCTCACATTTAACTTTCAGACTCTACTCACTAAGTTGTTTGTAAAAGCTCAAAGGACACATTTTTCATAAAACTTTCATGGTTTTCCCCAAACATAACAGTAACTACTATATATGAAGTGATTTACTTTACATGAGGCAAGCACTTTATATATACCATTTTAATAAATCCATACAGAAAATCTGCAGGCTGTTTTAATCCTGAGTTTACAAATACAGTCCATAGAATTTAAATAAGTATTTAAGACTAACTGGACTGCTACAGGTTGAATTAAAATTACAAATTATAATTTTAAAGCGATTTTAGATATATTCTATTTCTGTCACATTTATCTGTGGCTCTTTTTTTCTTATTGTTTCTAGTACATTCTAAGTCTCTATGTAATAGGTATCAGCCTTTTTTTGTGGCAACTGGTACAAGGATTTATACCTAGTGGGTACTCACTACATATTTATTTGGCAAATCAAAACATGGGTTTTAATTCAGAGAGAGGAAGCAGAGACAAAGGAAAGTAACAAATGTGACAACATCTAAAAAAACTTAAACTCACATATTAAATATTCAGAGTTTTTAGTCTTTTCCGTTGTTAATTCCTGTAGGCAATACTGACTCTCATTGCAAGTTGATTTTTCTGTCTTCGGTTTTGCTTTTTCAATTTGTATGACCTTAGAGAGTCACTTCAAATATAGTGCTAGGCCTCTATATACTCATTTCTTAATAATATTTCATTTCCTAAAGAAGATCAAGTGTGTTTTATTCACTATGCAAAAATCCATGATAAAACCAACATGCTCTTTGATAAAATGAGTTACTGTATTTGTAGATTACATTTATTCTCTAAATTGACCTACTTTTCTTTGTAGAACCTCCTTCTAATCCATTTAATCACAATAATGTTAATATTATATTAGCCATTTTTCCTCAAGAAATGATTTCTAAATTGCTCCATGGCACACAAATGCTTATTTTTTCCCCATGTTTTCTTTAAAGAAAACATATCTAAGAGATTAAGTGAGGTTACAAAGTTCACAGAGTCTTACAAACCTTGATGTTAAGAATCGGATGCTTAGTCTTTCTGGCCTTAACAGCATACAGTTGTGATATTCATTGATTTCTTTGTTTTGAACCAGTTACTCTACTGAGCTCTTTAACATAAATCACTTAAATTAAGCTTGCAAAAAAAAAAAATCTATGTTTCATTATTACTTAAGTTTTTTGTATTAGGGAACTAAAGAATCAATAATTTTAGAAAATTGCTCTAGTTTATTGAGTTTGTAACAGTCTTGATTGGAAACTCTAAGTGATGTCTTTGGTAGGCATAGGTTCTTAACGATTAGTCTTGTGTGTTTTCTCAGAGGTGGGCCAATGTTTATTGTGATCCTGCCCCATGCTGGGCCTCTGTTACATCTTTCATGACAAATCTGTTCATTTATTTCTCATAAAAAATCATGGCATATTTCCTTATCATTTCCTTCTCTATCTCCTGCAGAACTTCTTATAATAATAATTGTTAAGCATTTGTTAATTGCCAGGTTCTCTTTTAGATGCTGGGAACAAAACAATGTGTAAAACTAAACTCTCTTTTCATTGAATTTACACTTCTTTAGAGATTTCCTCTTTAACCAATAGATCATTTAAAAGAGCTTTGCTTTCCTAGAGTACAGTTACTAACTTCTAATTAGGTTTCCTTGCAACTGGATAATACATTCTGTAAACTGTGAATCTATTTAAACTTATCGACATTAGGTTATGTACAGTAAAGGGTCTACCATGGTGAATATACATGAACACTGGAAAACAATATTGACTTTGCAGTTTTCTAGAAATATCAATTAGTCCAAAGTGTTATTTAGATCTATGTCTTTATTTCCGTTTTCTTATTATTGCCCTAGTTGTTGTATCACTTACTAAGAAGCTGGTGTTAATAATCTTTTTCTATAATTGTGAAATTATTTATCCATTCTTTTAATGCTGTCAGATTTGCTTCAAGTATTTTGAGGCTTTCTTATCAGGTGTATACATTATAATTGATATTATTTTTCTAATAAATTTTTATTTCTATCACTATGCATAATATCTTTTTTGGTTGAAGAAGTACTTTTTTGTTAATATATATTCTCAAAGCTGCATGTCCTCATTTCTTGTTTGAAATGTATTTTTTAGCAATGTAATTATTCCTTATTTTTTATATTCAAAGTGGATTCCTTGTAGGCACTAAGAAGTTAGATCTGGTTTTAAAAAAAATTCACTATGTGAGTCTAATATCTCTTTCTTTAGTCCTTAGAATTTGTTTCTGACTAGCATAATTTCCACCTTGCCTGAGAAACTTCCTTTATAATTTAATGTAGAATATAACTATTGTTCTCCTGATTTTTTTATTCACCTGAATATGTCTACTTCACATTCAGCTGCAGGTTATGTTCAATGGGTATAGAATACTAAAGTGACAGGTATTTTATTATGTCTTCTTTTTTTTCTTTTTTCTTTTTCTTTTTTTTTTTTCCTTTCTTTCTCTCTGAAATTTGAAAACATTGCTCGACTGTCTTCTAGTCATGGTTTCTGACAATCTATTCGGGTTAGTATTTCTGTATGTATAGTGTTTCATTTTTCTCTAGTGCTGTGAAGACTTTTTCTTTATATTTGCTTTTTAACAATTTGATTTAACAGATATAGGCATAGACTTTTTAGACCTATGTTGCAGAATTTTGTCTCTTAGTTCATCTAAAACCTGGGTTCTTGTCACGTGAACAGGAAAATTTAGGAATGCAGACACATTGAAAGGTGAGTAGAGCGGGATTTTACTGGGGGGAAAAAATCTTTCAGCAAAGCAGCAGGGGTTCCCGCTAACAGGTCCTCACCTCACAGGTTGATTCCCCAGGTTACCACAGGAGGTGAAGAGAACAGACTCCTCCCACACATAAGTGGCTCCACCCACTTTCCCCAGTGCCCATACCGGGCTCCAGTGCACTGTGGGCATGCCCAGACAAGCCCTGGGCAGGTTCCCTCATCTGCACAAAAGCATCTGAAGTAAATACTGTGTGGAAGGTTAGAAATTCTCTAGGTACACCCTTTTATCTACCTAGGCATTTGGCTGTTTCATTACCCCATCTAAAGAAGTACATCTAACTGCCATTAGATAAGGATGAAGACCAATTTTAATTGCTTCCTGCTGACAGGGAAGCTATTTTGGGAAAACCACAGTCAGATTTCACTCAGAGACCTATCTAAGGGTTCCCAGCAAAAAAGTCCATCATCCGAGGCTCCAGTTGCAGACCCTTTGGAGTTTGATAGCCTGAAGGTGAGAAGAGACAAACCAGTTTATTAGAAAACATGCATCAGAACCAAACAAGGAGTGGTTAAGGACAACTCGAAAATACGGAAGGCTTTTACGAATTTGCACAGGAAGAGGGAGGCCAAAAGCCCAACTGGTTAAAAAAAAAAATCTTTTACCTTTTTGCTGGCATGTCAGGCTTCTGGGTTCCCTTCCCCTGAACCCAGTCCTAAGCCAACTATTCAAAGGTTTGAGAAATTCTCTCTTCCCAGTTTGAAGTACGCATCTGAAAAAAGCATCCTGTGGTACAGAGACACCACTACTTACCTACCAGTGAATAGAGGACAGAGGAAGAAAAAGCAGAAAAGAAGGCATTTATTTCAGAAGAGTTCCAGGGGTTTAGGATGTGTTATAAAGGGGTACAGGCTAAAGAGAAATGGCTACTCATCTAGAAAAATAGGTGAGCAAGTGTGTCTGGTTTCTTTCTACAGCAAATAGAATGTGAGGTGTTCCTCTTTCTTTCCTTGTATTGCTGAATCCTGGCAACTCTGCCAGGTGCCACCCATGGGTGTCAAAGTGGCTTTCATTCATGGTTACAGGGGGCCTAGGGGGTGGGAATAGCTGCTCTTTCTCACATACTTATATCTCCCCTCCTGGAAGTAGCCTTTGAATTCTCTAGGCTTCATTTTAGCCATGGATACTAGCATATCCTTTATCCATGAAATGGGAAACTTGGCTTGATCGAGTCATGCTCACCTGTGCTGTGTCTTTTGACTTTCATTATTGCCTGGCTTCTGGATCCCTAAGATCAAGTTTTTTTAGACCTTTGACACGAAGCTTGGAATTCAGTTTGGGACCAAAAATGTGTCTCAGCATGGGGATTGCATGGACTCATTATCATGAGCCAAATGCTAAAGGGAAGCTGTGGAACTGAGTTCTCCTCCAACAAGGGAAAGAAAAGGATATCTTGCGACACACCCAGATAACTGGTGTTTATAGCTATGCTTGCTAAGAGTAGGGTACATGGGGCTTTGCTTTGGTTAGCTCCCTTGGTTTTACTTTCCCAAAAAGGAAACCTCTGGATGATGGGCATCCTGTTTATTCCCATCAGCTGGCAGGATTTGCAGGATAATTGTTCAGAACTAAAATATCGATCCAAATTTTTACATTATCCATCCCATTTTGTACTTTCTGATCTGCAGTCAGAGAGTGCTGGTTGGTTCACAGGAACAAGCAGGGTTAGTCTAAAATGTAGGCAAAAACTTAAAAACAAATAATGAGTTTAGAAACTAATGATGATAAGTTTTAAAACATAATTTCTCTATGTCTAGTCCTCATTTCTGTTAAAAACAAATCATGATAGGGTTGTGTTACTTGCAAAATAGACTTTAGTCTTATACTTGGCTTAATTCTTTGCATAAAGTGCAGCAAGAATAATTACAGGCTCTTCAGATTAGCTTTGATGGAAATCTGTTCCATAAGAAATCTCAGATACGACCATTTAAAGTTGACCCAAGCCCTAGATTTGTAGCTTCAAACACCTGTGAGTTGGGTAAACTCCTCTCTTCTTGAGGTCCCAAGAGCACATGGTATCTGGGCCTGTTAGAAAGTGATATTCTTTACTCACCACAGATTAAGAACCCTGTATGTGGACTGTGCAGACAAAGGTATGATGCCAGTTTTCCCAAGGGGCTCTCATCAGCTCTGCAAGTTGATCTTGTCTACTTAAAGGGAAGCAAATCTTTCCAATCAAAGCCTGGTAAAACAATCAGTTTCTCCAATTGCATTCTGTTGCAAAAGAAAAAGAATTCTTACTGCACTGATGCAAATGACTATACCGCCATGATTTAAGAATGCTCCCTACTAGTTTCTAAATTCTGAAGAGGCCAGGCAGGGCGAGATAATATGTTCCAAATTTTGTTCACAGGAGGACATCTTACTCAATTATAAAGGTCATAAATAACTCAAAATAAGTTTGCTGGACTCTGAAAAACAAAGCAACGATCAGCAATATTCCAAGCAAAAATTAAAAAGATTACCTCAGTTTTCTCTTAGTTCATTCAGTTAACTCTTGTTTTTCTTGATATCTGTGAACATTTTAATTTTCATGAGTCCTGTATGTTTTTTCTTTATTCCAATGTCACAATCTCCAATGTTATCAGAAAACTGCATTTGAGAATACCTGTCAAAGTTCCACAGCTTATTGTAAACCAACCATTGAAGAGGATGAAAACAAGACAACAATGGTCTGTGAGTGACAAAATGTCCAGGGTAGTTACAGTCAGAAACATAATTGACAAATAAATTTGGTTATCTCTGTGGTTTACAATAACTTAACATAATAACTATAATTATGATTGATAGTATATACTTGAACATTAGAATTTTAGAAATCCCATAAAATTTTGGAATATATATTAATATTATTCACCAAAATATGACCTAAAAAAAGATTTAACATCATTTTGTCAATCCCATGTACCTAGAACATACGAGAGAATCCTGTTCACCTTTTTTTTTTTTGATACTCTAGGGGCACTCTGTAGCATCTAAAAGCCTGGTGTCAAGAAAGACAATTTTAAAACTGAAGTTTGCTTTTGAGAAGCCTGTTAAGTATGTTAGAGATTTTAAATACTTGATGTTATGAAATGGAATTCCAGATTATCATAAATTATTTACTTTGCCAAAATGACTCAGAAATTTAAAAAGCAAAAATCTAACCATTTACAAATTTTGCTAAAGAGTAGCTCAGTGCTTTAAGAGTACCTTGTTGTACTTCTTTTTTTTTTCAAAATGAAGTCTTGCTCTGTTGCCCAGGCTGGAGGGCAGTGGTGCAATCTCGGCTTACTGCAACCTCTGTCTCACCAGTTCAAGCAAATCTCTGCTTTAGCCTCCCAAATAGCTGGGATTTTAGGCACCTGCCACCACGTCCAGCTAATTTTTGTATTTTCAATAGAGAAGGGGTTTCACCATCTTGGCCAGGCTGGTTTTGAACTCCTGACCTTGTGATCCACCTGCCTCAGCCTCCAAAAGGGCTGAGATTACAGGTGTGTGCCTGGTCCCTTGTTGTGAATTTAGAGAAAAATTATATAATATCCTTTGAATTTTTTTCCATATGTTCACACATGGAATTTCCTTTGCAAGATTAATTTTACAATTCTTCACAACTTGTCTGAACTTACAGAATTACCTTATTTAATTGAAAACAATCTTTTAACCTTAGGCAAAATTTTACATTTCTATGCCTTCTTATTATCTTTTACTAAGAACACATTTTACTGTTTTTACATACTTCAAATGTAAATATATTTTTAGTAGTGTCAATTACATTATAATGGTAACTCGTAGCAATTTTTACCTTTAATGTAAAACTTGGTAAGTTATTTCAATTATGAGCTAGGTGCAGCCAAGGTTTGACTCCTTCCAGCACAATTAAGGGCATATTTGGCAACATCTCTTCCTAGGCCTTACCAATTGTGAAGCCAGCAAATTGAATCATTCACAAAGAGCAGTTTATAACCTTAAGACATTTAGCAAACCTGCATAATTTACTCCAGCTATTTACATTTTGATGCATATGCATTTCACCAATAACCTATAAGGCAGTTTTTATTTCTCAAAGATTAAAGCTACCACAGCTTTTATCTTTCCTCTAAAAAATATTCAAGTGCTTATTTTTAGTTAGGCCAATTAATTAGAGCTGTTTTTATAAACATCTCAAACACAAAACATATATAACTGCACAGACAGGCAGAAGAAAACTCAGCAGCCGCAAGATTTTCCATTTCCCAATCTCATAATTGGATTATTGTCCTCCAGGCGGATACCTTTCAGAGACAGGGCTAGGAAAACATGAAGCATCTAGGGCTTAATAAACAGGCATAACTGGGAGGCAAAAACAGATTTTGACAGGGATCTATCTGCTTCTAATTCCTGAGGTTCCATGAGGAAAACAGATTTCTTCCCAAAATAGGGTCAGTTGCGTCTTCTGTTTTTCCCAAGAAGTCCCATGGCCCCCGGAGTTATCTTAGGGCCTCTACTGCATACATCAAGAACGGCAAGACAAAATGGAGAAAAATTCCTTTTTCCAGCCAAACAAAATCCAAGGAAAAACAATAACAACAACAACATAAATGCCTTTTAAATGTGCTTATAACTTGGATATCCACGTTTAATTCAGCTGAGCGCTCTTTAAGAATATTATTTTAAATCCCTTGTTATCTGATTTTAGTTGTGTCAAGCAGCCAATATTTCTGGCTTTCAAACTTTATTGAAGGCTCAGGGAAAAAAAATCCAGGCTGTTTGTGAAGGGGAAAAGAGTCAACAAATTGCAAAGGTCACGCAGATATCAAACCAGAAAGCGTTTATTCCCTAAGCCAGGATTGAACGCAGCTGCCATTGTAAAATAATGGAGGCTAAACAAAACATTGCCGTGAGGTTACAGGTCACAATTTCAAGGAGGTAAAACAAGATGGGGACCTGCAGCAAAGTTTGCTACTGACCCATACAGAAAATCATGCAAAGCACACTAGATTGGCTACAGATTAAGATCAATCTCAGGAATCCTTTTTAATAATTAAAACTTTACAGAGAATATAAACAGTGATCCTTATAATTCCTGGCCTAGTAAAATGTCTTCTAAAAGAAAAAAAATAAAAACTATCACTTAAAAGTTAACTGCTGGCAGGGTAGGGAAAGGCAGAAAAGTTTGAAGTGCAGGATTGAAAAGATTCCTGTGGGAAGAACATCTTATTCTCATGCAAATGAATCCTCTAACAGGGCAAGAAACTTAAGAAGGGAGCAGAGAGCCTCTGGTTCACGGATCCTTCCCTAAAAAAAAGGAAAAGGCTGACATTCCCGACCCCTGGAAGTGACTGGAGTGAAGGGGAAGGAGGCATAATTTCCTCTACCCTAAGAAAATGTCAGAGGACACAAAGGCTTAGAAGCAAAAGAAAAAAAGGGTTTTTTTGGCTCGCACTTACCCTTTCGCAAGCCCCATGTTTGGGTGCCAAAATGTTGCAGAATTATGCTCCTTAGTTCCGCTAAAACCTGGGTTCTTTTCACACGACCAGGAACATTAAGGCACGTGGGCACATTGAAGGATGAGTAGAGCAGGGTTCTGCTGGGCAAAAAGGAAAACAAAAAACAAACAAACCACTAGCAAAGTGAGAGGGGTTTCTGCTTAAAAGCCCCCACCTCACACGTTGATTCCCAGGTCATCACAGGAGCTGAGGAAGGCAGGCTCCTCCCGTGTGCAAGGTATGAATTTCTCATGGCTCCACACACTTGCCCCAGTGCGCATGTCAGACTCCAGTGCACTGTGGGCATGCCCATATAAGCCCTGGGCAGGTTCCCTCATCGGCACAAAAGTATCTGGTCTAAACACTCGTGGGGAAGGCTGGAAATTCTCCAGGGACCCCTTTTTTATCTGCCTAGGCATTTTGCTGTTATACTAGTTGGAATTTGCTGAGTTTCTTTAATGTGTAAATGTACGTCATTTACTGTATTGCAGCTTTCGAAAGCCTTTGAATATTTGGAAGTATGCCCCAATTTTACCTTTGGGTACTGAAATTACACGTGTGTTAGACCTTTTAATATTGTCCTTCAGGTTCTGAGCTTTCTTATTTTTCCATTTCAAAGTTTCTCTTTAGTCTCATTTATTTTTCTATGTTCTTTATGTTGGGTAATTTCTACTGATCTATTAATTTGTACCTTTTTCTTTAGATTCAAAGTGGATTCCTTGCAGGCAGTAAGAAGTTAGAGCTGGCTTTTTGAACATATTTTATGTTTAATATATTTTCCCACTTTCATTTTTTTTTTTTTTTTGCTATTTAACTTATTTAATAAATTTTTAATTTCAGATATTTTATTATCCATTTAAAAATTTCTATTTGGCCGGGCGCGGTGGCTCCAGCCTGTAATCCCAGCACTTTGGGAGGCCGAGGCGGGTGGATGACGAGGTCAAGAGATCAAGACCATCCTGGTCAACATGGTGAAACCCCGTCTCTACTAAAAATACAAAAAATTAGCTGGGCATGGTGGCGTGTGCCTGTAATCCCAGCTACTCAGGAGGCTGAGGCAGGAGAATTGCCTGAACCCAGGAGGCGGAGGTTGCGGTGAGCCGAGGTCGCGCCATTGCACTCCAGCCTGGGTAACATGAGTGAAACTCTATCTCAAAAAAAAAAAAAAAAAAAAAAAAAAAAAA